CAGTGAAACCCGCAGTGATCACTGTCAGGTGGAGCCTCTCGCTTCCCTTCCATGTAGAGGGGAACGTCGGAGGTAGAACCGTTTGTGGGGTGAGCTGTGAGCTTTGGGTCCCAAAAGTGTTGGCTCAGCATCAGCAGGGTGAGTGAGAAGCTCGTTAGTGGTTCACAACCACGTCTCTCTTTAGCTGTAAATGTTTCCAGCTCTAGCTTATGAAAGGAAGGAAGGAGGCTGTGGGGGTGGTCCCTGGAGGCGGTCATCCCAGGGCCGCCAGAAAGGGCAGGGGGAGGACGGGCAGTGGGAAGGGCCGTCACTGCCCCTCCAGCCCGGCACCAACCCCTTCCCCGGCAGAAGCTCCCAAGCCTTTCCCCTCGGGACAAAGTGCGCAGCCGCCTGGGGTCTGCATCGGGCCTGGGCAGCAGCCCCTCCCTGTCAGGAGACAGGCACTGGGGCCTGGCCTTCGAGGGCAGGGTCTGCCCAGGGTGTGGGCACGGTGGCTGGTAAGTCACCCCATTTTCCAGGTGGCCTGGGGTGCTTCCGGAGGGGCCCCGCAATTCCAGACCAGGGGAGCTCCGGCATCGCCCACCGTGAGGCGCTTTCAGACAACGCACAACACAGACTTGCTTCCTCCCCGGGGACTTTTCACCTGGAGGGGCTGAGCCTCCCCCCCCCCCCCGGTGTACAGACACTTCATGTGGTTTTTAAACAGGAGCCAATAGAAACTCGGAATCGGAGATGATTCAAACCCATCGTGCCGGCCCCAGGGGCTGCCGGCCTCCCAGACTGCCTGACGGCATTTCCGCGTCTCGTTGCCGGTCCCTCCGGCCGCGCCCGTTACCGCTCTGAGGCGAGGCTGACACCCCTCCAGAGGGAAATGGCCGTCAGCGTCCCGAGATGGCGGCCAAGCTCAGGGAACTGCAGGAACTCGCAGTGTGTGCGCATCGGGAACACTCAGGTGGCGTCACCATCTTCTGCATGTCTTGGGGACACTGAATTGTGACTTTGTAAAAGCGGCCCTTCTGTTCATTCTTCTTGGTTCTGCTAAACTACTCACAGTTCTAGCCACAATTCCAGGACTACCCGGAACAGTACGACTGAAACACAGGTCTGGCTTGGCCAGTGGACAGTTGGTGATTATCTTTTCTGAGAGAGATTGCTTTATAATTTTTTTCCTGACCATAAAGCAATATATGTTCAACACCACAGAGATTTAGGTTGAACCAAAACAGAATTTTTATAAAGTAAAAATCTCCCACAATTCACCATCTAGATATAGAGGTGTATAATGCTTTGTTGTAGATCCTTCTAGATCTTTAAGTCTACTTACGTATACAAAAATGTGGTATTCCACTTCATCATGGCACTTGTTATTTTTACCAAAAGTTTCTGCAGTGATTGTTGAATACTTACAGTTTCTTGAAATGAGTCCTTTTCTTGATTCCATAATTACTGGGGATTCCCAAATAACCTACTAGTTGAATTTGTTAAATGCGGGTGCAAAGAGAAGTTGTGGGTGCCTCCAGCTGTAGACAGTGTCTCTAACCAGGATCGCTGTGAGCTCAGAATATGTTTCAGACACAAGTTTCTCTTCTTCTACGGACTGCAATCTCGGGTTTAGAGTCAATGGCCTAGTTAGCCTGGACCTTTCTTAGCGTCTTGTAAAGTGTTACAGATTGTCCCAGAGTAAGAAGTAGGTTTCGCCGTCCGCCGTCCCCTGGGGCACCTCGCCCAGCCCGACTCGCTCCGCTTCCCCGAGTGGCTCCTCTCCGGGGGCAGTGGAAGCCAAGGGCCAGCAGAAAGTGTGGTTGCTTTTGTTTGCTCCTTAGAAGCAACTGGAATACAGTTCATTCCACACTTAGAGGACGTCCGGGAAATACCGTGGTGTGCGCGACTAAGGAAGCCTGGCGGAGGTGTGTTGACGTGACTATTGGCCAGCGGTCACGTGAAACGGCACAGCTAACGTCTGTCGGGCACTTACTCTGTGCCAGGCGTTGTCAGGGATTGCGTTCAGCGCTTGCAACAACCCTGCGAGTTAGAGAGCCTGACCTAGGTGACGAGGTGGCATTTAACCCTGGACACAGTCCGACCCCAGGGCCCTGCTGCTCTGTCACCTCTGATCCCGTCGTGCTGGGCAAAGCCTCGGCCTCCGTTCCTCGTCCTGACATGAGAGGCATTGGCATCGCTGACGCAGATGTTTCTTCCACACTCAGCATTTCCAAATCCATGAGTCTGCTGGGAACCGTCTCCCTGCCAGGAGCCATCTCTCCGCACACAGGTCACCACCACGCTGCTGCCTCCGTCCCCTGGCCAACCTTCACTTTCTCAATGGCACAGCCTCCGCTGCCGGGCGCCAGAGCAGTGCAGCAGTTTCCCATGAAAAAGCCTCCAAGGTCCCTGTGCAGGAAGGGCTGAGATGCTGCCGCCTTGAGGGCCGGGCTGTCCCCTCGGCCGTGGAGCTGGCAGAAGGCGCAGAGAGAGGCCAGCAGGCCCCAGCTGTGCTGGTGGTTCCCGCATGAGAGGGCTGCATGTGCATGGGTCATAACTTATTCATGGCTGCTGTCTAAAATAGCTGCTTATAACTAATTCACAGCTACCACGTGGGTGCTATGCGCTATTTTTTCAGATACTAAAATTATTACCCTACTTCCACGGGCTTTGTGTGCAGCAAAAGTCAGTCTGCCTTTGATTGCACAAGAACAGAGACACTTCCCATTTCGAGAGGTGAGAGCCTTCCCTGTCGAAGTCATTCCATTTCTCTCGGCCGAAGAAATGCAGCCCAGGGGTGCGTCGGCATGTTGCTTCTGGCAGGTCCAGAACGGCGTGCTGCGGCCGGGCTTTCTGAGCAGCGCATGCAGTGCTTGTTGTGACCTCCACGCGGCACAGTGAGGGGCAGCTGAAAGTTACCTGAAGTCCGGACGTAATGCGTGAGCCCAGGTGTGCAGGAAGCATGGCAGTTAACTAGGCAGGGGCCGGGTGGTTTGCCACAGACACTCCAGATGGAGGAGCAGGTGTGCAGAAGCCACATTGGAAGGGCTGTGGCAGGTGCCAGGGTGAGAGGACAGCCACACTGAAGGAGCGCCTGGGGGTTGGGGGCCGGACTGGGCCCCGGCCCGGGAGGGCAGGCGTGGCCTCCAGGAATGTCAGGTCCGGTCCCAAGAGCATCCAAGGGCTGTGACATGGTCAGAGCTGTGTTTGAAAACGGAAACGTAGCCCAGACCTGTGCGCATGGTTAGGGGAGACGTTAAAGGGGTGTGTCTAAAAGGGAAAGCAGTGAGTCTGGATGGGGTCCCTCCCCACTGGAACCCCAGAGCCACTTCTGGTGGCCCAGAACGGCCTCGCTGCTGACTCAGCCCCGGGATCTGCAGCCGTGGGCAGTGTGTCCAAGGGGACAAGAGGCCGGGTTCAGCTGGAGCACGCCCTGGAGAGTTGGCACTCGGGTCTCGGGCCTTTCAAGTCAGCACTGAGGGTGGCTGGCGGGGCGGCCGGTGGCCAGTGGCCGGTGTAGCCCTTGGGCCAACCTTGTTGGAGCGCCCCACGGAGCTGGCGGTGCACACCCCGCTTTACAGGACGAGGAACCAGCTAGTTCCTGTTCCCTGGCTGCTGCCCCCCGAGATGGCTGCCCGTGACAGGGGCACGTCAGACCTGTTTTCATTTCTGTGGTGACGACAGTGAGTGAGCGAATTACAGGCCGAATCCACCCGACCATCACTGACCCGCGGGGGCAGTCAGAGCGAGAACACACACCTGGTCGCGTTTCCGTTGGGACAGGTGGAACTGAATGCCGCGCCGTGCTGGAACGGGCGGCCGCTGAGGCCACAGGCGCTTTTCTCCCTTCCTGCTCACGTGGCAGATGAGAAGCAGGGATGGGCGCGTTGTCACCGTTGGTGCTGGACGAGGCTTACGGAACCTCAGGGCATCAAGCTTGCTTTCAGCGAGGCGGGCCTGGGATGTGAGGAGGGAGCCCGTGGGAACGGACGTTCTCCAGTGCCACGCGCACAGGCAGGTCGGCCCCTGGGATGCCTGGTCCAGCAGGTGCTGGCTGTGGGCCTCCCGTGTGCCCAACGCCTTGCAGGGCTAGGGTGGGACACAGTGGGGGACAGGCCGGGAGTGGGTGCGTGGAGGTTGCAGTTATGACTATTCTTAGCTCCAGAGCTGGAGTTTAAGTATGTCCTCGATTTTCCAGTAGCAGGAGTGTGATGGGTGTCACCAGCATGGCGACAGACTGGTGTGCAGGAGTTTCCAGAGCCACGCCACACGGGTGTGGTGCCGTGAAAGCCCTTGAGGTGTTTCCTCTCGAGTGGGTTCTGCCACAGCGGATTGGGAAAGTGCACTCCAAGGCCCTGTGTTTACAAGAATCGTTCATAGAAGAATGGTTCATAAGATCTGCTTTTCGGCCCGCGTATTCTTTGCTGCTAGCAAGGCGTCTGGAACTCCTTCGGTGGCCCTTCCTCACAGTGCACGGGCTTCGCCGCGTTCCTTGAATTGCAGGAGAGGTAGAGTCTCAGGCTGAGACAGCAGCTGCCGGTGGGTGACTGAGGCCACAAGGAGGAGCGGGGGTCAGGGTCAGGGACAGCCTCCAGACTCCTGCATCCCCCCGCAGCCCTGTGAGGTGCTTCTCAGGCAGTTCCCGAGGAGTGGGGGGCTCAGCTCTGTGAAATCCAGAACTTTCCTCCGGGCCCCACCCGCTTATTCCTCCGACTCCCGCCTTTGGCCAACTGAGGGCACGCTCACCCGCACCCTGGGCGCGCAGCTTTCCGTGGGGAGGCAGTCGGCTCTCGCCTGGTCAGGGAAGTCCTTCGGGAGGGGTTCTTCTGCTCTCTCAGACCTAGTGGCCAGCGGAGGCCAGGATTTGGAGTCGGGGGGCCCTGGATCTACTGTGTCCATCTGCACCGGAGCCATTGCCCAAGGCCCTGCAAAGCCAACGAGGGCAGCGGCAGGGGGCGGCGTCCTCCTCCCTTTGACCTTATTGCCAGGGACAGCGACCAGGTTGTGTTTTCCTGCAGGTCACCTGGATGCCAGCATGGCCACCGCAAACCTGGAGAACCAGCTGCACAGCGCGCAGAAGAACCTCCTGTTCCTGCAGCGGGAGCACGCCGGCACACTTAAGGGCCTGCACGCCGAGATCCGGCGGCTGCAGCAGCACTGCACAGGTGCCCTTGCCACGCCGCCCCGCAGAGCGGGGTCTGTCTCCAGGGCAGCTCCACGTGTGGCCGGCCCCCCAGGCCAGGGGTGGGGGTGGGAGGTGCTTGCTGCTCTCTGATGCGGAGCACCCACTGTCACAGAGACCATGTGCATGACAGGTCTCACCCTCTGCCTGACGGGCGTGCATGGAGAAAGCCGTAACGCCCTTCCTTGGCACAGTGCAAACAAGACATGGAGACAAGGTGGTTAGAATTGGCAGCGGGTTTTGGAACCGCCGACCGAAGTGGAGTGCTGCAGCAGAGCGAGCTGCGTGCTGGGGTGGGTGCTGGGGTGCGCACGAGGGGAAAGGAGGGTCCCTCTGAACCCCGCCCGGTGAGGACGGGGCTGCCGCTGGTTTCCGCCGCTCGCACGCTTGCCTCTCGCCCTGCCCTGGGCAGGGCTCACCGGCTGATGGGTTCCTTGTCTTCAGAGCTGGCGAGGCCTTTGAAATGCACCACGACCTCACAGAGCTGATGCCTATGCTTCCTTTTCAGATCTGACTTACGAGCTGACACTCAAAAGTTCGGAACAGACAGGTAGGCCCGCCCTCCCGGAGCGTTCATGGCACTGCTCCGCCCCAGCCTGTGCGGGCGGCTGGCTCTCACTGGGGAGAAGGCGCACTCGCTGTGCGGAGATGAGCATGGGGCGGAGCCCAGCAGACGGTGGGAGAGAGGTTCGAGGGGCAGGGAGGTGGCGGCGGGAGTGCTCCCGGTTCCTCCTGGTGGACGCCCGCACGGGCAGTGCCTCTCCCACGATGCTAGACATACTGCTTGTCTACAGTGAACACGTTCCTTCTGTCACTCAGAAATAACTGCCACTTAGATCAGAGAGAAAGAGGAGGAGCGGGGTCCTAGGGCCCTCCCCCAGCCTCTCACGCAGCACAGGGCGGTGCCGTGGTTGCTAAACACTGGTGGAGGGGTGGTCAAATTGCTGGGTGGCCCCCAAATGTCACTAAGCATCTTCCTTTAGACCCTAGTCCCGGGAACCCTTCCCCCCACTGGAGTCCTTAGGCCCCCCAAGACACCAGCCAGGGGGGCAGCCAGGGAGCGGCGGTGAGCCCGGGCCTCTGCGGCCTGTCAGGAAGAGTTGGCTCCCGGGGGCAGGTGGGGATTCGGAAAGCGCAGTGCCCACACAGGAGTCGGTGGCAGCTATTGCTCGTGAGGGGGCCTGGGTGCTTGTCCAGGTCATGGGCCACCTCCACAAGGCTTAGCGCACGCCAGGTGCTCGGCTGGCCGTGCGCGCCCTCTGTGCCTCAGTCTCCTGGGTGTGCCTTTCAGAGCTGAGACGCCTCTGTGTGTGCCGTGGGAGAGGAGGTGCGGGCGCACCCTCCGGAGCCCTGGGCTGGGAACTGGACCCCAGGGACTCAGGAGGACAGGACACACCGTCAAAGACCCCAGCCTACACCCTTGTCATTGAGCCAAAGAAGTCAGGGTACCCTCACGTCCTGTCCCCTGTTGGCCCAGGCTTCTTCTCAGCCCTAAGTCCTAGGCCACCTTCTCACCAGCTCTGGCTCCTTGTGAGCGGCAGGGGCTTGTGGCACCGATGGGTACGGCGTGTCTGGTGATGGCAGTGGAAGCCTCATGGGCGCCCTTAAGGGGGCTGTGTGCTCCTGGGGGTAAAACCCACTGCTCTGCATTAGCCCCCGAAGCACCCACCCATCCCACGCAGCTCCGGGGACATGGGTGGGAAGCACGAGAGTCCTGGGTTCTCCCATGGAGGCTCTGCTTGCAGGAGTCCGGGCTGGGACCGGGGAGTCTGTGTTCCAAGTGCCTGTGACCGACAGCTCAGGCGGGCTCAGCAGATGCTACCTTAGCTGGTGGAGAGTAGCCGCTGCCATGGCTCAGTGCACACACAGCTTTCGTGGGGAGAGACAAACTTCTAGAAAGGATGTGTGTGCAGAGAAGGATGGGGACATTCCTATGAAAGAGTGAAAAACCGTCAGAACAGGGTGCTGGCTCTTGGCAGAGCTGCTCCAGAGTATGGGGGAGGAGGGACCGGCACAGGCTCCCTCCTGGGGCCCTGGCGGCACTGACAACTCGGACTGGCCTCCCCATCTGAGAGCTGTGCCGAGGGCCAGGCCTCCTGCCTCCGCAGACCCCACTCAGCCTCGCAGATCGGCCTGCACCCAGCGGGGGGGGGGGGGGGCGCTGAAAGGTCAGGTTAGTGGCAGCAGAAGTCACAGGTGCCCGGGCACAGTCGCAGGGATGCCACACCCTGAGAGACAATGTGAGAGGGGACCGTGTCAGAGGAGAGGTGGCAGCTGGACATCTGTGCCCTCTGCAACTTCAGTTTTTGTGCGTCAGATGTGGAGAATTTTTACAGCAGGCTTCAGGAATGGTGACTTGAACGGAGCAGGCACTGAGGCCGCCTCGCCCAGGCTTGCAGACGGGTCTGCTGCAGTTCAGTCTTGAGTATCTGGTGAAACGCCGAAAACTCTGAAAGTACACATTTTAGCTTCAGCAGTCCTTAAATTTGGGGGCCTTCTTTTATACAATAAACTGAGAGCTGCCCAGGCTCTGAAGGCCCCCAGCACCCTGCCCTGTAGGAGCCGACCGCTGACCCCCGGTGGGAGCAGGGCCCCCACGCCCAGGCCACCTGCCTCTGCGCTGGGTTCTCAGCCTGGTGCCCCTGCTTGTGCTCCCAGGAGACGCCCCTTCCAGGAGCAGCGAACTGCAGAGGAGATGCGAGGAGCTGGAGGCCCAGCTGAAGGCCCAGGAGCAGGAGAACGCGGAGCTGCTGCGGGAGCTGGAGCAGAAGAACGCCATGACCGCGGTGCTGGAGAACACCATCAAGGAGCGGGAGAAGAGGTACCTGGAGGAGCTCAAGGTCAAGAGCCACAAGCTGAACATGCTGTCTGGCGAGCTGGAGCAGCGCGCCGGCACTATCGCCTACCTGACCTCCCAGCTGCACGCCACCAAGCGGCGGCTGCTCAGCTCCAGCGGGGCCTCGGAGGGTAGCCCGTCGGGGAGCCCCGTGGCCAGCTACAAGCCGGCCCCTCCCAGGGACAAGCTGCCCGACACTCCTCGCCGCCGCATGAAGAAGAGCCTCTCTGCCCCCCTGCACCCGGAATTTGACGAGGTCTACAGGTTGGGGGCCGAGAGTCGGAAACTACTCCTGCGGGAACCAGTGGATGCCATGCCCGACCCCACCCCGTTCCTGCTGGCCAGGGAGTCCGCCGAGATGCACCTCGTCAAGGAGAGGCCCCTGGTCATCCCCCCCATCGCCTCTGACCGGGGCTCCAGCGAGCAGCACAGCCCGGCCCGCGAGAAGCAGCACAAGGTCCACGTGGGCGTGGCCCACCGCATCCCCCACGGGGCCGCGCTGCAGGCCCCGCCGGAGGTGGAGACGCTGGCGGTCGACCAGGTGAAGGGAGGCAAAGTCGTCAGGAAGAACTCAGGGGCGGACAGGACTGTGTGAGGCCTGCCAGGCGCCCTTCACCCTTGGCTGTCCACGCACTGTGACCCCCACTGGGGAAAGCCCATCCACCCGCCCCCGTTTCCTTTCATTCTCACGCATGCCAAATTGTTTTCCGGCCCGTCAACAGATTACTCCCCCCACTCCACTTGCTCTTACACCAAAACGTGATTGTGTCCCTGCTGCTGCTGCAGACACCTGTTTACTAACCGCCGTGGCCAAACACCCGCGTGCCGAATGGCTTGCTTCTCCGCCCCGCTCCGCACGTCTCCGCGTGCTCGGCCGGAGCGAGGGCCGCAGCTGCACGCTGCTCACGGCAGTGAGCTCAGGTAGCCACGCGTGTGTCCCGGGCTGCCCGTGCAGGGCGGCCCTGCTCCCTCCTGAGCCCGTAACCTCCTTCAGACCCTCCCCAGGGCGACACCGTGACCGAGCGGCTGTATCTGTATGTCACAGGCACTAAATAAGATGACGTTACTCCTTCTATCACCGCCACCTGAAGTGTGTTCATATTTTTTGTTAGTTTTCTCCAAAATGTTCAAGATCCCAACAAACTTTATTTTCTAAACCTGCCTTCTTTCTGTCTTGTGTCTTTTATTAAGCCAGCAGAGGGAGGGAGATGACTGGGAGGGACAAGGGTAGCAGGGCCTCCCGGTGACTGCTGCGGTCTCACCCAGACGGTGGGTTCACCCAGGACCTTGGCCTGTGGGGGCTGTGGGTTCACTTCCAGAAAGAGGCATCCCCTTTCTCATGGCCCAGAGCTACCATTTCTGAAGTTGTGGCAAAAACCACTCTTGCCCGTGACTACCCTGCCCCCTGTGTGTGCTCAGCCCTGCCCCACGGCGTCGGCCGGGCCCAGGCTCCAGGCTGGCCCTGCAGTGCGAGGAAGGAAGGGACACCCAGGAGCCTCCAGTCCTGGAGTTTGGGAGTCTGCGCCCAACCCCACACAGACCCAAACCGTTCGGGTAGGGGCTTGCACAGGAATTAAACACCAAGCTCAACAGCCTCACCTGCACAGGGCAGGCCTGAGACAGAGGAGCGGGGCCACAGGGCTCTGGAAGGGGGAGGTGGCTGAGGCTGACTCGGCCTGACGCAGCCCAGCAGCCAGGGCCTTCGACCCACACCCCCCGCAGTGAGCTCTTGCCCCAAAGAGGCATTTGCCGAAACAGACCACAGACTGAGATGGTCAAACGCACACCTTTGGAAATGTACGTCAGAATTCTCACACTGCCTTAGGCCCAATCAAGTGTTTCCCCTGAGAATGAAAGTAAAACACTCAACGTCTTAAAATGCTGTCCTTTGGAGTTTACTTTTTCTTGAATTCTTAAAAAAATACCTTCAAAAACAAACCCATACAGGTTAATTTATAGAGAAAGAAATTAGAACAGCTGATTTAAAAGGAAAGGAAAATTGTTGTCCAGCCCCCTGCTGCCTCTTGAGAGGCCCCGAGAAATGGCAGCAGGCTTGGCCCTTCCTCATGGGTCCCCTGGGCCCAGAGGGTCAATCAGAATTCAAGGTGAGGCACACCCCTTGCAGCACCCAGTGGGAAATGTGCTTTGTGGTAAAGAGGTCGGCCTCAAAGACCAAGCCGACGCCCATGGCGTTCCTTCGGGTGGAGGTGGTGTAGACGGGTGTCCGGAAGGTGTTCTGCGAAGGAAAGGCACATGAGGAGCCCCATGGGCAGAGGCGAGAGCCCAACACCGGAGGGGGCGGAGCCTTAATCTAAGTGTCGGATCCAACCAGCTAACGGAAGGGGGCAGGCTCATTGGAAGGGGACCCAGGCCGGCAGAGCAGGAGGCACAGGCTGTGCCAACCAGGTGGAGCCACGACTCGGCCCAACGAGTTTAATGAGAAACCAGCAGTCTCTCCTGAAGTTGGTCTGGACCATAGCTCCTGAACTTGAACCTGCCCCCGCAAAAGTCTCTGTGTACACACGTGTGTGAGCATGCACTTGCCCAGGACGTGACTCCACACTGGGATCATGCCTCACGGGCTTCCCCCACCCAGGGTGTACCTGCAGGGGGAGTGGGGGAGGGGAGTGGGGCAGGCAGGAGAGGGGAGCGGGGCGAGGCTTCCACCTGCAGTTTGAGGCGGTGGGCTTCGATGGGGATGACCTTCAGGATCGGCAGGTTGACAACCAGCACCTTGGGCTTGCTCTTGATGAGACAGCCTCTGTCTACATCCCAGTCTGCGCCTTCCAGGTACAGCCCTGACACGAAGCAGCCTGAGGAGCCAGAGGAGGCCGGGCTTTACGCAGAGGCAGCTGCCCTTCTGCACAATGGCTCTAAGTGGCACCCGCGCCGGACACACACTGCGCGGTCCTGCACCTTCACTATTAATCCCCTTGGAGAGCTCACAGGGGCGCTGGTGCTGCAGCCGCATGGCCCCCAGTGACGACCCCGGGGCCCTAGGAAGTAGCCATGTCCAGACACAGTAGCACAGTCAGTGACCACTGTCCAAGGCACACAGGGTTGCAACCGCATTCAGGGTCCCGCCAGTCCAGCCCAGTCTCCGGCACCCATGCCCGGGGCAGATCTGACCCAGGAGCCCATTCCTGCAAACCAGCCGGGTGAGCGTGGTCCAGGTCTCCCCGACACTGGCCCCAGTCTCCAAGGAGACAGCAGTGGAGAGAGTATGTGCTCTCCCGCGAGATGGCGAGACACGGACGTGCACAGACGCAGACGAGTGGCAGCTGTGTGGCAGCCAAGTGACCTGCAGACCCGGCCTGGCCCACCTGGCGCACACAATGTTCACCCCAGAACCGGGTGACTGGGAAGGGGACCCTACAGGAGCGGCTGTGGACCCACACGGGGCTGACCGTACCTTGTCCTGCCCGCTCGGTCACCTCATCTGCATCTTGGAACTTGGTCACTTGTGTGAACAAGGTGGAGCGGTCCAGGGGCCAGCCGTTCCTCCGGCAGGTGGCCTGCACCAGGGCCGTGAGGTAGGACTCGGGGATGTGCAGCCCTGAAAGCCACATCACGCTGGGCTCCCCCTCAGTGACCTGGAGAGCAGGGAGGGTCAAAGCTGACCAGACCGTGACTTCAGGATTAAAGACACAGGTCACATGGGTAGCGAGAAGACGGGGTTGGGACAACTGGTAGCCCACTTAGGAAAAGCAGCCACGCCAAGTCCAGAGCAGAGATTCGGATGTAAAGAGGTAAAACCACAGAGGCAGCAGATGGAATGTCTGATGGGCGTAACCACAGTGACAACCTGGGAGTGAAGACTGTGAAACCAGAAGCCGTAACGGGAAAGGCTGACACATTTGACTGGTTTCCTTGACATGCAGGATCTCTTAAAAGTCAACTTTAAAAGATGAAGAACTCAATAAAAGTGAAACCAATACCAAAACACAATCCACAGAAGCAGCAGCATGATATGTAAAACAGGCTCCGCCTCACCAGCGTCGAGGACGCACGTCCAGGCTGCCGGCCCAGATGGCAGTGAGGGTAAGTGGGGCTCTCGGGCCCTCCCACAGCCACTCAGAGTTCCCGCTGAAGAACAGGACCGCCACCACGCAGAACCGCCCAACACCTCGCTGGCGGAAACCCTACAGCTAAAGGGACAAAGCCGCCACAGGAGGCCGACAGGAGAGGCGGAGACGCAGACAGGCTGGTCCGCACCCATGTGTCGGATGAAAACCCAGACTGATGTCCGGGCCACGAGGCCCCCGCTGAGGAGGGAGGGCCCAGCCCCACACTAGGCACTCCAGGCCAGGGTTCCAGAGCCAGGGAGAGGAGTCCTCGCAACTTCTGGCTGCAGAAACCAGCAGGGATTGTAGCTGAGTGAGACAGAGTGCCCAGCAGGTCCTCTCAAAGGGCTGGCATGCAGGCTCACGGCTCACTGGCTCTGGGCAGCAGCTCAAAACAGCACCAGGGACACATGGGGAGGAGCCGAGCTGTCTGGCATCAGGGCGAGAGCTGGGTTGGGGCTGCTGATCCTTTTCTGAGTCCTCCCCGCCCAGAGCTGGCAGGCAGGTGCCACACGCGAGTCTCCATCAGTGTGGCTCACACCGTTTGCCCAGCCTCAGACCCTGCCCCGCCCAACCCGCAGGCTGCCCGAGCTGCCTCCATTGGCCTTTCCACAAGCAGGGCCTGCCCTGGATCGAATTTCAGACCTTCCTAAAATCTCCTCAAACAAGCAGCATCTGGCCTCAGGGAGCCCCGTAACGCTAAGTGGATCACACCAAGACACAACCCAATTAAAATGCAAAGGTTGAAGACAGAGAATCTTAAAAAGAGCAAAAGAAAAGAAGTTAGTCACCTACAAGGGAGCTCCCATAAAACTGTCAGCTAACCTCTTAAAAGAAACTTTGCAGACCAGAAGGGACTGGCAGGAAATACTCAAAGTGACTGAAAGCAGGGACCTACAGCCAAGATGACTCTACCCAGCAGAGCTATCATTTAGAATCGAAGGACAGATAAAGAGCTTTCCAGACAAGAAAAAACTAAAGGAGTTCATCACCACCAAACCTGTATTACAAGAAACGTTAAAAGGTCTCCTTTAAGAAGAAGAAAAAAAGATTAAAATTTTGAGTAATAAAATGGCAATAAATACACATCTATCAACAGCTGAATCTAAAAAAACAAGATAAATAAGCACAACAGACATAGACTCACAGATACAGAGAACAGTCTAGCAGCTGCCGGATGGGAGGGGCCTTGGGAGTTGGGGGGGCTGGGTGAGAAAGGGGAGGGATGGAAAAGCACAGGCCTGCTGTGACAGAGCGGTCACGGGGACGTCCAGTCCAGCCCAGGGGACAGAGTCAACGGCAGGCACTCTAACAACTGTGCCTGGTGGCACACGGGTGTAAGGTTGATCCAGATGATCACTTAGTAAGTTACATGATGTCCGATCGCTGGGTGGACACCTGATATAACGTCGTGTGTCAACTACTACTGAACAGTAAAAATGATTTTTAAAAAGGAGGAATGCACATCCCAGCAATTAGGTATCATCGTTGCCGATCGGGGAGAAAAGATTCGAAGCACTGGGAACACACAAGCACTGTGAGTGCTGAGGGAGTAAGCGACCTTGCACACTCCACTTTCAGCTTCTCCGGAAAACTGTCTCAGGAGAGCTGCCCGAATCTAAAACACACACACTCTGACCTGCTGGTTCCGAGGCAGGGATGACCCAGGGGACACACTCATGTGAGCGCCCAAGACGTGTGCCCTGGGCGGTCGCTGGTGCTGGCAGAGAAACAAGAGAAAAACCCAACGATGACCGCCTCAGTGTCTACTGGCGCAAAGGACCTGGGGCGCCTGCAAAGTGGAGAACCCCAAAGAGAACGAGGTGGACCGAGAGAGACGTAGATGGAACGGTGTCCAGGACAGACTCTCAGATGAGTGAACCAAGCTGCACGAGGCCCACTTCCAAGTCTTAACACCAGAAAAGGAAGAGGGGAAAAGACAGGGACACACCTGGAGAGGCAGGGACCGTCCCCAGGGCGCTCCATCGACGGCTAACACGGGTCAACACACGTCGCACGGACAGCATCGATGGCTAACACAGGTCAACACGCGTCGCACGGACAGCAAGGGTGGGGAAGGGCTGGGAGGTGCCGGGTC